ACACATCTGTCTTGAGGACAGAAACCTTGGAACAGGGTAGCACAGTCCCTGAGATTTCACTCCTCAGTCTCCAAGGGTCAGTACGCCCTATTACATGTCTTCCTAATGTCTTTTTATTTTTCTCCTTTGAAAAGTAAATTATTGTATTTCTGTCTCTTTATATGACTCCTGGTCCTGCTGAATGCAGATGATTGGAAGCACCTTCTCTTGACATTTCTATTTCCAATCTATACTTCTAGAGATGAACTGACCCAACTGAAGGCAGAATTTGTGGTAAAGAAAAGACAGACATTTGTGTGAAACAGTGATGTACTCTGTGCGTGTTCTGGTGCTGATTTCACTGAGGGTTCATCCAGAAAACACTTCTGGTTTCTCCACTGGTCAGTTCTCAGCTCAGCATTGATTTTAAACTATATTTGTAGATTGTCATGGAAATAAACATGCCACTGTGTGAACATGATCAGTTTTACTGGGGTTTCTAGTTGTAGCCTTATTGGTTCAGTGGAAACCCAGATTCTTATTAACCCTCCTCTAGTCATTATTTTCTATAGAATTCATTTATAGTCCTAGCAGAAATATTCATCCTCTGCATTTATTGCTAATCAGGAAATCTTTTCACAGTTTGTTCAATTTCAGGCGTGAATTACCCAGGGAGAATTTCCCAATTATCTCCTTGGAGTCAATGAAAGTTTAAAATCTGAATTCGCTTTAGGAACAAGCATGTTGCTCATCTCAGAATGTTCTCTTGCTGGTGTCTCACTTTTACCACATGCCTGATGTGTAAACCCAGCCTGCTATCAAACAGCTGGCCATACCCACAGGTGCCTTCCCTTGTCTCTTGGTTTGTTGTATCTCAGCCTCTCCCTGTGGTGAGCCCTGGAAATTGCACAATTCATCTGGCAAGAAAAACGTCCACTAAGGGGGAGACTTTCAGAAAGGATTTAATATGAAAAAGGCAAAGTCAAGCTGAAGAAATGAAGAAATGATAGGCATAAAAAAGCAGGAAACTTCCACCCCCTCCAAACAATGGAAAATTATACAAAGAAAGCTTATGAACCTTTTCCCACTCACTCTTGTATTTCCTGCAACTTCACACAAATCCTATTAAAACACCTGCTTTGTCTATCTACCAGGAAGGGATTTTCTCTGGGACATCATTTCTGAGAGAAAGAGGTGAAGCATTTACATCATCACAGGATTATTTTGTCCAATCAAACTGTTATGATATTGAACCCCCAGAGTCATCGTGTCCCACATCATCATAATCTGTGTCTCCAGGAGGCAGGGACGGGGTTTCCTCCTCCATCCCAGAGACAACTTCACCCCTTAGCGAGCGCAGACTCCAACCTGAAAATACCAAGGAGGAGACATACAGTCAGTGGATCCATTCTATGGTTATGTTCGGCTGCAGAACAAGATGGAGTGCACTTTACAGCAGTGGTTCTCGAACTTATTTGATTGTGGCCCCTTTCTTTGCATCCGTACTAACTGACACTTCCCCTCCCCACCACACAAGTACATATACCAATTAAAAAAAATTAACATGCAACTTTCACTGAATATGAAAAACAGTAGAGGAAAAAGAGTGAAAAAGACCTCTCCGTCTGCCCAGCTTGAAGGCAGCACTACTGCCAGCAGCAGCTTAGAAGTGAGAGTGGCAACACCAGACCATGACATCCTTACTTCTTCATTGCTGCTGGTGGCAGTGCTGCCTTCAAAACTGGGCACCCAGACAGGATCCACCGCTCTGTGCTCTGGCTTCTCACACCGCCCCAGAATATGTTCTGTGCTGCCCAGTTTGAGAACCTCTGCTCTCCAGTGCAGATTGGGAATTGTTCCCGCTTCAGTCTTGGGTCTATGACAAGTGTTATCCATCATCTCTATACATAGTCTGGAAATTAAAACCTTTGGTTTCCAGAGCAGGTAAACTTGCCAAGCACCAGTCACTTCATGTACAAAACCCAAACACTTACCAGCAAGGAGCGCTTAGTTAAGAACATCATAACTTTCCCTCTGCCCTAGCAATGAACATTAGCACTTTATTCTTATCAAGTACTAATCAATGCACATTTCATCACCACTGCACCTCCTTTGGGGTGGCTGATGGTGTCTCTGCTCATGACACAATGGGGAAGAGAGGGGAGATATTGGCCAAGGACAATGGGCAAAGCCCATCCCAGATTTTACAGGACGTGTCATGGGCTTTTTAACACTGGTGCAGCAGCAAAACGGACTTTGGTTCATAGGATTCT